ACAATTACTGACCCCGATGGCGTCATCGAAATTTTTTTTTTTTTTTTCTATATCTGAAAATAAACATAGATGAAATCATGCATTTATGTACATAAAAAATAACGAGCAAAAAGTTTCCGAGAATTTCTTTTTCTAAGTCCAATCGGAACCTTTATTCGTTGTATACGAATATCGCGATTTACAAAATATTGGTAAACGTTCACTAAAAAAAAGAAATTGATTTTCCTTCAGTTTTTTTCCTAAGAATTTTCATTTTTACCTGGCATTTTCTGCTGTTGCCTATTAAATAGAAATAGAAATGTATATCTATTGATTTAACATTTTATTCTTTGTTTACCTGAAGTAAAACATAAGCTGATGTGCCATGGTTTTCTATTGATGCTATACTAAGATTCCCTTGAAAATATCTAGCGTAAAGTCGTGCTATTGGTAAACCATAACCAAGACCAGCAATAGGTATACTTTTTATATTTTGTTCATGTCCATTTAAAAGAAATTTAGGCGCTGTAGAATACATATAATGAAATAAATATGATAATTTTGAACGTGGTATACCAACTAAAATAAATAGCAGTCAGTTCTGATGTATGGAATATCAGATAAGTGGCATGCGCTTTGCGTAGTAAGCCAAGGAATGGTAAAGATGACATACATTTTTTTTTGAAGATAGTATGAGTCACACAAGGCTTGGTTAGCGCAACAAAATAAACGGATGGAAAAAGAAAGAAAAAATTGGCTGTTGCTAGAAGGAAAGAAGATGTTTATAGTCGAATAATAACATCGGTCGGGGTGTCAATAGAGATGAATTTCGAGAGTAAATCATTGCACATTTTTAGAAAAGTAGTTCGATATATTTTATAACTTTCTAAAAAAGGCAACTAATTCTATCAGCCATAGTTGGAAATAAATGAATTCATGCAGATAATTTAAATAAGCGGTATTGTTAATCATCCTACTGTATCTTTTATTTATTTTTTGTTTTTCTCTTACAGGCATCTTTCTTTTGACAACTCGATTAGTGGTGCGGAGTAAGAAAAAAATGGTAGATATATACACTTAATCCAATACCAACAGCGACAGTCGAGTCTTGTTGTCCTAAAATAGGACACAAATTATACTAGACGACCCTATTAGTGCGTAAGCAAGTCACATGTCTAATATTTTCTTGTGATTCAAAGACAAAAAGTTCTTATTCTGAGTACGAAATGTAATTATTATCACATAAAGGGGTATACTATCAGTGCTGAAAAGTTCATTATAACGTTATAACGCTCTTACATTGTATAGCATTAATTCAAGACATGTGATGAATGTTTTGTCCATTGATTTTTTATTTATTTTTTCCACTAACGGTAAAACCATTTAAACCAGCAACTGTCATTTCAATTCGTATCAAGTGTATCAATATGTGTCGTCGGCTAGATTAGAAAAAAAGTCTAATATCATTAGTTTATCGTGAATCTTTGAGACTAGACGAGATTCATCTCTTAAGTTTTCAATTCATCTGTAGATCCATAGACGGTAAACAAATAAATGAATTCTCGCAAGAACTTTTATCTATATGTAGATCGAATCACTTCTAGGAATGTTTTCAAGTTTCTAATCCATAAAATACGTTGATTTGTTGAGATGTGGCATTACCGAAAAAGAATCGTTGATCACAGATAAATCTTAAAATGAAATTTACCTGAAAATGCAATGTATCGACTCAAAGAAGCATAGTTTTCGACTCATATTATCAAAATATGTAAATAGTCATCAGACCTCTTAATAAGCTAATTTTCAGATTCCAAACTGGATGAAATGACCATAACCTGAACCAGATCTTATTCTAGCTCCAATGACTGGTGTAGGATACTTCTAGTGGTACCTCATGAATCACAACCAATAATAGCTTATTATTTTGTTCTATACTATAAATTGCTGTCAAATTCTATCACTTAGAATAATCTTTTCATAGAATATCTCGTCGTAATATTTGTTGTATAACCAAACAGTCAAATATAATGGAGAGATGATTATTACTTAAAACTAGTTTCTTTTGTTTTTATTATATTATTTCAATTTGCATAATATCCTTACATTCTCAGCATGGCTTTCTTCTAATGTCACACAAGTATTAAAGTAATCTTTGCATGTATAAAAACAATCAATTAAATACGAGCGACTGATCAAGAAAGCTCATATTAAGTTAATCGAGAGCTGTTTAGACCGAAGAATATTTAACACCCTTTGTTGTTACTATTTTTGGCAAACCATTCATAAATAGAGAGCACACCGACAGAAAAAAAGAGAAAACTTGATTACAATTAATTTTGTATTTTATGCATTCAAATCAATCGGCGAGTTATATATTAACTAATCATGTTGAACGTTTATAAGGTGAGAGTGTGTTAGATCACCAATACGAGCCTTTTTATTTTAACCATTCGATTGAAGATATTAATATATGAGCATAGCACTTATATTCACACAAGTTTCACTCGAGTCACATACCAAAATTTAATTGCAGGATATTATTTTAGTTATCCATAAAATCATTTGATGATATTTTGAGAAAAATCTCAATAACTATTCTTTTCTAGTACGAATAAAACTTTTGGATTGCAATCGATTAGAATTTATATACATATATATATACAAAAAGCTGAAGATGATTTATCTTACCACCATTATCGTCGATTCGTATTGTTAGATCTTCATGACCTTTAACAATAAGTACACGCACAGGTGGATATTCTTTAGCATCTAGACCATATCGTTCAACAGTTGCACGAAGTGAATTCTATTTTATAATAGATAAAATCTTTATGAATTTGCAAATAAAATATATATTACTTTTAATAACTCAAAAACAATATGATATATATGTGATGGAATATATGCAATTGTTACAGGATTTGTGCTATGATCTTCAGCTAGAAATATCAAGTCCAATCGAAAACTTTCTTATTGATTTTTTTCATATTTACAATTATAAGATTGGATTTCTATTTTCGGTACTGGATAAGAGACTTGTTGAAACAATTGCTTTGCCATTGAATACGCTTCTATATATAGTAGAAATTAAAAACAAAAAACTATCACAAAATGATTCATCTGATTAAGAACTTTGAGTTCATAAAATGTTCTCGAAAAAAAGACAAAACGCAAAATGAATAATACGTCTACTAGTCATAGTATATTCGTCTTTTTCTTTATTCTTTCAACAAGGAAGAAAATGAAGAAGCGTTACTTTTCTTTTGCACGTTTGTATCTACCTTTGGACTACTATATAAACAGAAGAGAAAAAAATGATACACCTGATGTACCTTTACCAGTGAGTAGTACAAGATATTTCCTGCTCGAGAGTTTTTTATCCTTGATAATACAATAAAAGAACGATCACGTGATATCAACATTCATACGTGATGAGTGAACATTTCTGTTCAAAAAATTTTAAAAAAATGTAATATCTACAGCTTTATTTATTATAAATTCCATTGTGCATCATATACAATTGAGGTTAAATAGAAGAATAACGAGAAAAAATTAATTTACCTTGAATAACAGCAACTATATCGACAGATGGATCGATAATACCTGCTTGTTGCGAATGTTGAGGCGATTCATCACCAAACAGAAGTGCTAAAAATTATTAATTTTAAATTATTTATTTGGAATCAAATTGAAACATACTATGGTGATAAATTAATGTTCTTACACCAATTCGATTAAGAAAAAATCGATCATAGAAATATTGTATTCGGTTCTTTTCGATTGAATTACTTGAGCTAACCTTTTCAAACTCCATATATGCCTAGCCCAAAACAAAAAAAAAGACCCAAAATGAGGAAGAAATAATTCAACTATCAACTAACTTTAGCTAATGTTGATATGACATCAACATGACGTTTTCGAATACCAACTAATGCCTCCGTAAATCTATTGTTTCACTAGTTAGATAAACAAGAAGAATATAAGGTTATTCTAGTACTTGCGAAGTGTTGATGCATCTGGATCAACATTTTTAAATTCCAGTATTTCAGAATAACTTTGATCATACAATGAATTAGCTAATGCAAAACTTGGCATTTCAAGTAATCTTTGAAGAAGAAAAAAAGACGGAAAAATAGTTTCATTCAAGTTTATCATTATTATTTACTTTGGCGGTAAATAGTTCATTTCTTTACGCATATGAGACCATCGTATCAATAATTCAACACGTAGAAATTTGTATGATCGTTTAATGTCGGCATCACAAGCTACAAGAACAAAAGCGAAAATTCAAATATTTAGTGTTTTGAATAAATCTATATTTTTTCTTAACAAACCAAAATCAGTGAGACTTTTTAGAGTAAATGATGTTGGTTGAAATTTTGAATAATATTCAATATGATTCGATAGATTGAGAAATGGTCGAGTTAAACGCATTATTTGACGTTTTTCATGTAGTTCATCTGAAATATAAAAATTTTAGACGAAATATTTCTCTTAGAATGTCAAAGCTTACAACTGATCAAAGTCGTAGGAACCTAAAGAAATTGATTGTCTAAATAGTGATTAGTAATTCAGTCTATTTTCAGATGTATCATGCGATCCTTTTGGTTGATCTTTTATTTTTATTTGATTATAAAGAAACACATATTCATCAGTAGGAACTAAAATTAAATCTACTCAGTTGATTATACTCAAAAAGGATTAGAGCTTATTGTCATTCATAGCTCCAAAATATTTAAAAAAACAGGAAGTTGTACCTTTCATGTCTACGAAAACTTGAAAGTGAAATTTTTTTTCTTTAATTTAACTACTGCATTTGCATTTGCCATTTATCAGAAATCGACCATAAAAATAATAAATAAGGCAACTTGTCTAATAGTATATTACATCATACATGATTCTAAAAAAACAAACATCTTCAAATCATAATTTAACATTTTTTTAAGTTAGAATATTTTTTTCTTGGTTGCATCAATTGGTTAACAGATAGATAGATATATATACAGGCTTGCACTCAATATAAGTAAACGCATATGAATGAATGCCAAATAGTTACATATAAAATAGATCGAAATTCGTCATTATTTCAACATAGACTGTTTCTATTTTCAGCATTCCTTTGTTTCTATTCTATTAACGTTTTTGAGTAATAGTTTTTTGAACTTTTTTTTCCGCGAGATTTTGTACTACGCATTACAGAACATCATATTATTACACAATTCGGGTATTTTATCTAAAATGAATAGAGGTTTTTCTTTGATAAGCAGCAATCAATAATCTTTTTGAAAGAAAACACAAAACAAAACATCTGCATCAAGATAAGATCTAAACAACTTAGTGTATAGATATATTCGTGAACGAGGATGGATATATAAACCTTAACAATGGATGGCTCTTACTTACATTAGTTAAATGAGCCAATCAAAATCAACTCCAATATTTACCAAAATCTGATAATGTTCCCTCGACGAAAGTTTTACTATATCAAGTACTTCAACGTTAAAGAAAAACAATGTGCCCAAAACACTGACCACATTGAACTAAACTTGCTTTATTTTGTATGTATTCATTAAAAACAGAAAAACTATCGAACAAAAATATCAATACATTACGAGATTCCTCGATTGAAAGAGGTGGAAAACAATTCACTTAACCCCTTTTGACAAGCAATTTTCTCAATAAGCTATATAGTTTACTGGTTATTTTCTAGTGTCAACATGCATTGATGCTTGAAATCAGCATGGAGTCTCTTGCTTTCGGTGTCTAAGCAGCGCAGTGCCTGTATGTCAGCGAGAGATTCACACACGCACACTCGAGTGGGTATTCAGATCATAGCGTCATCTACTTCTTTGAAATATATCAAGGTAGAAACAATAATTGTGCATAATGCATATTTTTACACACATCGTAAAAAGTATATATTCATACAAGGATTTACGAATGGACTAAAATCGCAGTAACAACAAAACTGAATTAACCAACATTTCATGATAAGGCAAGAATTTTACATAAAAGTTCCACTATTTGAAATGCTGATTAAAATTAAGAAAGGCTTCAAATATTCGAATAAAACTTTTTATTATACAATTACATATGTTAGTCGTAGTTGAAATGTAAAATAAGCATAATCTAACACAACAAATAGAGAGAGAAAAATTACAGTAAAATATCTACTGATGAATATTTCTCAATTAGAAATAGTTATCGAAAATTTTGATGAATGAGAGTGATAGAGATCACGCTTAACATTTTTCTATCGATCTATCACCGTGAGACACAGTGCTTTATTCAACTGTCAGTCATATTCAGTAGATGTATTAGAACTGTGTCCACTACATCTATGTGAATCTTCCAATATATCTATCAAGAACACTATGACATCAGGACTCACAGTTCGTTTTTAATTAGAGTAGTGTATTTACTATAGAATTGGAATAAAAAACTAAATTGATATTAACATTGGCTTTGAGACAAAAACACAAAAAACACTAGAGAATTATTGAAGAAGAACTAAAAGTTATATTTCAATGGAAAATATTTTTCAATTGAAATCATTTAAAAGAAAGTATGAGAATACACCAATCTAAACCTTTATCTGAGACTAATGTAGAGATACATCCAAGGGAAATATTTTCTTCATTTCATAAACCAAATTGTGTGTCAATTCTTCAAATTGAATACCTCCATATGGTGCATGCTTTTTATTAGTTTTCATCCTATTCAGAATATTAAGATGTGACAGTGAAATAAAGAACTATTTCCTATAGGTGATATAAAGAATCAATAAAAATAGGAAATAATATTATATTGTAAAACCTTTGGTGTTTCTCCTTTCACTTTTATCAACATCCTTTTTTTTTACATTTTATACTAGGTGAAAGATGAGCTTATGAACGGAAAATCTATCATTATTATGAATTGATTGACTCTGTCTATTTTTTCATACTGTGCTACGTTCGTCTCCTATTGTTTTATCCTGTGATATAATGAATTTCAACTGTTTTTTCGCATAATAAATTGCATGTTTGCTTGCTTCCATTTTTCGGGTGACTTCGGACTACGCCATCGTAGGACGATATACGTATATACTCTCTTCCTGATTATCGAATACTTGAATCATCAATGACGTCTCAATAGACCTTAGAGCATTAATCCTTTCAATACAGTATCAGCATATGCATCAATGAAATGCACAAATTAGACCGTGTAAAAAGCATCTGACGAAAATAAATCTATCCATGAAATATTCGAAAATTTGTTTCACAACTGTGATGAAATTAGAAAAAAGTGGCACACACTATGGTTCGACCTTCTTGATCATATGATTAGAGTGAACCTCCAGCATATTTTGTTACACCACTCTTTTGTAATCATTGTGAAATAAATGAGAAGGAGAGAGAGTAAACTGCAATGACAGATGTCGCTGGACATTGCAATCAAAATCTATCGTATTTTCATTATAAGTAGTAATTGACGAGAATAACTCAATCAATACACGCATAATCTTTCGATTCGGCACTGGTATGCTTGAACAAATCGCTTCTAACTCTGTAGTTCAGCACTGAAGCTTTTTCTGTCTCGCTGAGATCTTTTATTAACTCAAGAACCGTTTCGATCTGTTTGCTGGAGAATAACTTTGTACAGATTTTTACATCCAGGATTCGTTCTATATTGAAATTTAAGCTTTACAGTTCATGTGAACAACTGTTGTTGAATTCTTAGACGATGCAGAAAATTTGAATGTTCATCACTGAAAAAGAAAATTTCGTTGTTATACACAGTATACAGTTTTTTTGATAGAGAGTAGGCGTCTTAAAGTACCTGATATCATATTGTATAAAAGGTATTATCACATTGACACTCCTGTGTTTTAAAGTGACTTGCCTATTAGAATAGAATTTCTTTTGATTACAGTTTAAATCTCTCGATGTTATCTTTCATATCGTACAAAGCAATAGAAGCTACAATAGTGTGCTTGATTATTTTGTATACATTTCTGATTGAATATGATCTCTATTTGTTAAATAAGCAGATTATTTCTTAAGTATCTTTCGTCTGGAAATATTCTTTAATTATATTCTATTTTTCGTTTCGATTATGCAAAAATTTTGTTTTTATTCTTTATCAACAACAAGTGTCATCTATATGAAACTATGCCGAATAGAACGAAAGGGTCCGTTGCAGACAACATCATTGAAAATGCCTTCCTTTCATCCATTACTTTATATTAATAGGTTTAAGTAGTTTTTTCTTCTCGGCTATAAGTGAGTCATTTGAGAATCTTCACTTTTGATGCAAAGGAAATCATGTGCACACCTGGAGAAACTGGACTAATGGTCATGTATGCTAATCGATATCAACAAATAAAAAAACTCGGTCAAGGAAGTTTTGGTACGGCTTATTTAGTTCACGATACGAAATCTAAACATGAGAAGTATATGCTTAAATAAACAAGACCATGTGAATAAACATTTACATATGAACTTGCTTTTTAGAAAGGTTTTGAAAGCAATATTTATCGGTGATGTTTCTCCAAATGAATCATTAGATGCTGAACATGAAGCTTCAATATTAGCACGTCTTCGTCATCCAAATATAGTACGATTTTATGATAGTTTTGTTGATGCGTTGCATTTTTGCATTGTCACAGACTATTGTGAAGTAAGATTATTATTTGATATACATAGAGAGAAATAACAAAAATATTTTTCGCTTCTTTCTTTTTTTAATCACAAACTAGGATGGTGATCTTGACCAATTCTTAAAATCGTTACGTAAACAACGTAGTCGTTTACAAATGGATCAAGTTATTGATTTATTTATGCAACTTTTATCAGCCATAAATTTTCTTCATTCCAGAAAAATTCTACATCGTGACATTAAAACTAGTAATATTTTTTTAAAACGAAACTGCGTTAAACTTGGTGATTTTGGTATATCACGTCTAATGATTAATACATTAGATCAAGCATCCACATTTATTGGTACACCATATTATATGAGTCCGGAAACATTAAGATACGATGGATATAATATGAAATCAGATATTTGGTAAATAAAACGAGTGAAAGAAATTTTGTTTTTCTTAATGCCATTGATTTTTGTTTCAGGTCATTAGGTTGTGTTCTATATGAATTAAGTGTTTGTAAACGTGCTTTTGAACGATCAAATATTATACAAACAATGGATGCAATACTTCGAGAATCTGCACCGGCATTACCAGAAAGATTTCCACTAAAAGTACAACAACTTTATTTACAGTAAATAGTAGAGAAGAAGTTATTGTTATGTTTGTGAATTTATTTTCATGTAATTAGAATGCTATCAAAGGATCCAGAAAAACGAATGAAAGCATCAGAATTATTGGACGAATTTAGTAAGGTATGTTAAAAAACAACATTCGCAAAACACATTTTATTTTATATTAATTTAGATTGAAATAAAAGCAAATCATATACAAAAAATAACTACTCAATCTTCGACTCCTGATCTTGAAAAAAGTAATTTGAGTCTATTGAACGATAGCATTCGCACTTAAGAAATATGAGCATACAGAGTTTACATAAATATTTAGAAAAAATTATCTGACTGAAATCTATCATATTTTCAACAGGAATCGATATTCATACAAAGTCATTGAGTATAGTTTTCCTATATCTCATCCATTATCAACTAACTCTATAACTTATTCAATCAGAATTTGACCTGTTCTGTATCATGATTTTTTTTCGCAAGATCTTTCTAATATTGTTTTCTTTTTTCTTTTGTATACAAAGATTTCATGTACATGTACATATTGATTCATTGATCAAAGCTAAAAAATTAATTTTCTTCTTTAGAAGAATCACATCCAGCACTACTACGTTCATTTAGTAATGGCCCAATTATAAATAAGCATATTCATAATGCATTACAAGTTCCATCGTCTCCAATTCATTCAGCATCATCTACGGATTCTATTGATTGTTCTGAAAGCAGTTCAGCAGGTAAATTACAATTCAACGTATATCCTTTGATCAAAAACTGATTTTAAGTTATTTTTTAGAAGATATTCAAGGTGCAGATAATAATTTGGATCCTTTTAATGCAACAGCAAAACAAATGAAAACTGATTACTATCGAAGGTTAATTAATAGAAAATAAATTCGTTTTGAATTTAGTTTTAAAAAATTAATCAATAATTTTTGTTTTTTAGTAAAGCGATAGAATTAGTTGGTTTAGAAAATTTTACTCGTATTCATAATTACTTACACACCCAACATAAAAAACAATCTGAAGATCCAACTCTAACAGATGATATTATTGTGTCGGATCTTCATGCATTAAGTTCCGATTCGCATGCATGTACATTAATAAATGAACTTGTTCTTCATGAATGTTTAAATGAGCTGAACGAACGAACAGAAGCATCTTGAATTTAATTTTTCAATACATTTATTTTGTGATAATATAATAAATCTCTTTTTTTTTGTATTTTAGATTTTTTATAAATATGACTGAGAATGAGGAGCCACAAATATTTAAAAAACGTTATAAAATTGTCAAAAAATTAGGAGCAGGAAATTTTGGTACAGCTTATCTCGTTACTGATCTTGAAGTACGCAATGAACCGTAAGAAAAATGTTTCATTTCTTCTTCGGAAAAAGAACGATTTCCTATTTTCTAGAAAAGTACTCAAGGTTGTTCGACTAGGCGAAATGGATGCTGATCAAACAGTTGATTCTGTTCGTGAAGCTGAACTATTATCAAATTTACATAACGAACATATTGTTAAAGTAAGACGACAAGAATTCTACACGTGAATGAATATTATTTATATTTTTTTATGATTTGAAGAAAACAATTACAAATGAATTGTTTAAATCATTCTTTTAGCTAAATACACTACACTTTGAAACAGGTGTATAGTGTTTCATCTGATGCATTTAAAACTCTCATAAAACATACTATTTAGATTCTATGCGAATAACTCAGTAGAAATAGAAAAGTTCTAATTGAATATCGTTAAAAATAAGTTAGTAAGTAAATTGAATAGTATAAAGAGATCTAGTTCGTTCTTCTAGTGAATTGTATTTTCTTCTCTTTTGATAACATCATCCGTAAATGCATTTTTCTAGATTTTCACTTAAAGTTCTCTGTATACATTGGCCTTTAGTAGGAAACCCACTCCCACATCTCATTATTTGAATTGACTAATGCTACCGAACGATAAAGAAATTCTTTGTTTTCTCAACTAGAAAACACAATTCTCTCAATTATAATAACAGAATCCCTCCAGAATTTCTATATTGAATTTGTAAAGATAAATTTGAAATTCATATAATTCTAATAGCGAACTTTTGGCGAAAACATGTGCTGGCTACTCATGAATTCAGTTTTATTAGTCAGTTGAATTTCCTCATAGCATTTCCAACAAAAGTACTCTTTCATCGAAATAAAAATCATGCTTATATTTGATGGGTTCTTATCAAATCATAAAGAAAATAAATGAAAGTTTTTCAATTTTTTAATTGTTAGTATCTTCAAAAATTTCTAACAATTTATTTAACTCTATTATTCTAGTTCTATGAAAGTTTTCTTGAAAATGATTATTTATGTATTGTAACGGAATTTTGTGAAGGTGGCGATCTTGATCAACGATTTAAGCAATTAAAAAAAGAAAATCACACATTGGAAGAAGATCAAGTTGTTGAATGGCTTATACAAATATTAATTGCAGTACAATATATGCATAAATCTAGAATATTACATCGAGATTTGAAAGCAAGAAATATATTTCTCAAATCGAACAAAGTTAAAATTGGTGATTTTGGTATCAGTCGAATTTTAGTTGGAACTATGGATGTTGCAAGTACATTCACGGGAACACCGTATGGTTTCTTATTTTGAAAATCAGAACAGAACTGTAACGCATTGCTTTATTTTATTTTTTTATTCATGTAGATATTATATGTCACCTGAAGTAATGAAACATGATGGGTATGAATCTAAATCAGACATTTGGTAAGATTCGCCGGTTTTTATAATTTATCAATATCAGAATATTTGTTTTTTCCTTCTTAGGTCAGTTGGTTGTTTATTATATGAAATGTGTACTTATCAACATGCTTTTGATGGTAAAGGCTTGATGAATGTTATTTATAAAGTAGTAGAAGGACAACCACCTGAATTGCCAAAAACATACTCAAAAGAACTGAATGATTTATCGAAAAAGTTAGTAAAGATTATTACTCTCTTTGCTTTGGTTTTTCTTTGAACAAAAAAGAAATTCCTGAGTTGTTGAACCATCGAATTGTGAAGGTCTATAAATAAGAATATTAAGAAGTTAGTTTAAAGTTTTGCTTTAAATATAGTAACATTCGAGTTTTGATGAAATTTCAGAAAAATTCATTGATATACCAAGTTTTCAATCTATGAGAAATTATTTATTAAATGTACGCTTTGAATCGTAATCAACAGGATGTATATTATACGCGAAGAGACGTTCCAAGAAGATTTTTAAAGGCATTTAACAGTTCTTTGTCAAGTTTTGAGATATTGAACCTCGAAAACACAAGTTTTTCATCTTTTTCTAAGAGATTACTAAAGTGATTTTAAATATTCTATTTATCCCGGAAACCTTATCTTTTTAATTTGTCTCTTAATGAGCATCATACGATCTTTAGAGGCTGCTCATATTGTAGTTAAACTCTAGTTAGTCATAAATATCATTATCTATAACGAATCGTATGTGACAACGTTTTCCACATAAGATTTTGAGTAAAGTTAAAAAATATAGAATATGCACATTATGGTCTTTTTCTTTCTATTCTATTAGAATGTTTGCCAAAGATCCAAAACAACGTCCTAGTGCTGCTGAATTACTACAAAGTACATTTATTCTTCAGCATCGTCAAGTATATTAATTAACTAAAGAATAATAAATCAGTAATTATTGAAACTTTCTTTTAGAGAATTCAAATGAATGCTCCATTAGAAACAACAATCAGTGGTAATCATCGTTTAAAAAATATTCATGCTCGATTGTTCGTATAGACTATTCTTCGGTGCTGAATTTGGTTTCTCGATGAACTCTTTTTTTGTAGACAAAGTCCAATGAATTATGGTGAAATGCAAAAACAAAATTGGTCATTATCTAGTCCAAATCATACTATTAAAGTTGAAGATGTTGACGATGACAATGATGTACAACTTGGAAACAATACATTCTATAAATGTAATTTAAAAACTGAAGAAGAAGAAGACAACGACGAAGAACAACAACAGCAGACTTTAAAAGAAGGAATGACACAAAAAACAGCTAAGCAAACAATGATTGAACGAAAGTTACATCAAGCTGACGCTCGTGCTCAAGAATTTGCGTTAGTATATTTAGAAAGAATAGCTTTAACTTTGTTAACAGATGATTGTGCAATGATTTGTTTAGTCAAGCGGTTCGATCGCAAACATTGCAAGCTGCTCAAAGCCGACAAATGATGCGTGACAGTACTATTTGTGGATCAGTAAGTTTATCAGGGTTTTGCTTTGAAAAATCAATCACTATTTATGAATACAGATGCAACAACCATGGCCATCTCCAAGTATTACTGATAAAAAAGAGCAAGCACGTTCAAAACTAGCACAAACATATAATAGTCATAATCGTAGTAAGTTAATATAGGAAAACACTCAATGAAAACCGAGAATGTATCTAGCACGTATGAAAAGAATTGAAATTACTTTTTGATAACTAAATAAATGTATTTTATTAATTTCGAGAGAAAGAAAGAAGACTAATTTATGTTGAGAAATCTTTCGTATCGATCGAGATTAGCTTCGAAATCCATTAATTGGTCAACAGAGATTTCCTTTACGTGTTGGATGCACGGCATACAGGCATGTGTGACTTCTAGCTTGGCAGTGACTTCATGTGCACATCTTTTTTGTATTAATTTTGAAGTGTCATCCTTTGATATTAGTAATATGCAAGTTATTTGTGAAAAGTTCTTTGTTATAAATGACACTGTCAGACAATTGACTTAACCAAAATCGAATAAGATCATTAGATTTTAACGTCATTTGCCGTTCTTTCGATGTCTTTTATTCGTGAAGACAATTAAAAATTCGATTTCTTACCAAGAAATCTTATAGAATCAATCAAAACTATGAATTTTGTTTTCGAAAGTAGATGTAAAGTGCTTCAACGAACTGTTATAACTGATCCTGAAAGGTATCTAGCAAACTACGTAGTTCTTTCATTTACTTGAAAATAATTCAATAACTACAAAACTATTTTCAGTGTAATCATATAACATCAAATTTCTAACTGATATTTCTCGTTTTTTCCCTCAGAACCTAATCAATACTCCAATGACGAAACTTATGCTGTTCGTCCGCCTGCAGATCGTTTAAATAATTTCAATAAATCTCTTCGTACTAAAGCCACTGATGATCGACCAATAACACCTATGCGTGGAACTTATAGACAAATAGCTGACCAATTTGGTGATGAAGACGGTTTACCCATTGATCCAACTTTAACAAATCAATATTATGAAGCTTATAATGATTTTGAAAAAGAAGATGATTTTAGTCCAACACGTGAACAACATGAAAAAGAATTCTACGAACAAGTTTGCCGTAGTTTTAATGGTCAAGAAAGAACAAACGACAGACGTCGAGTAATGTCTGCATCAAGAAGTTCAACAATGAATTCATTGAGTCGAACAATTGATGAACGTTTTACGACTAATCAAATAAGGCCATCAAAGTACATAACATCCTCAAGAACAGTTGCTGGTGCAACGAAACAAAGAACTTTATCAAATCGAACAGTCGATGAAAATAATTCTACATTGAAAGATAATCCAATTCGAGATGCATATGGTCCACTTGCAAAAAATAGAAAACTTACTTCACTACGAACGTAACTAAATTTCTACTAATCGTAATCTTTTTATTAGCAAAATTTGTTTGTTTTTCTCCTCTGTAGTAAAGCAATTGAAGCACTAGGTGAAGAAACATTTGAAAAGGTTCACAACTATTTAATAAAACAACGTAGTGCACAACGAACAGATCTAACATTAGATGATTCAAAAATTACTCAAGGTCTTACAGCATTTGTTAAAAAACCCAGTGACTGCTTTCTTGTTGATCAACTTGTATTTCTCGAATTGGTTGCAAACTAATATGTATATACAGATATATGTGCATGTACATGCTGTACTCAACTATGATAAAATTCATTTCGCTTGGTTTTTTTGTTTCTTTTTGATCCTTTTTTTATAGTCAAAAATTGCACAAGCAAAGCAACATTCTACACTTGATTCCTATTGTGTTCAATAATCGCAAACAAGAAAACATGAAGAAACTTTGTTATATACATGTCAAAGTTCTTTTCTTCTCTTTGTAATTCCTTTGTTTTATGTTTGGCGTTGTACACATGTTGGTATTAGTAATATGTGATAAAATAAAATACAAAATAATGCAAATAATATTTTTTCAAAAAAGAAAAACTAATCTATTCAAAACAAAACCTAAAAGAAAAATGCAATTATTCTCTTAGCGAATGCGCTATAGATGATATTTATTTAAATATGATGTGACGATGAATTTTCAGAATGTTACTAATTACTTGAAGGGCTGGATAACATACCACAAAATCGAGAAACTGTTTCATTTACAGCAGAAATCGTTTACCCGCAAAAAGTCAAGAAGAAACACTTCATCATGAGTACACTCCTTTCTAAGTAGAACTTCACCAAAAACAGAGAGGCATGAATCATCTCCTTATCGAGTCTCAGACAAAACTCAACCAGAAATGGTTCTATTCGAGCGGAAATGGTAATATTTTAAGGAGAAATGGTTGAAGCGTTTCTCCTCTTCCAAGGAGATATTCATTTTTTTTTCGTCTTATAGGGAAGTTTTGTAGGAGAAAGAATATTTTTATTTCTTCTGAACGATAAGTTCAGGCTTATGTTTTTATCCAAATGACTGTTGTAAATTCTTATGATATCGAATAACTTTGGATCAGTTATATTGTACCCAAGTCGAACATTCCGGCCACCAGATCCCGTAGGATACTCCAGGAAATATGCGGGAAAGTCGCCATATCCTGCAGGGAAATCGCTGGAACATGGCAGCAGTATTCCGGCCAAAAATGCGGTCGAACTTTTCCAGCGGATTCCTGCCAAGTTCCGATGCTTTCCGGGAGGAATTGATCGGGCATCACCGAAAAAAATCCGAAAATTTTCCAACCGGAATACTGCTTCCACAGAATCAACGAAACTAACCGGAACCGGCCGCTTCCAGGCCGGACTGTTCTACTTGGGAATGAATCCTATCGGATCTCATGGGATTCGACAAGCCGACAAAATCCGATCAGATTCCTGGTCACGGGCCTATTAAGGGATCCGACGAAAAAAAACCTTTTCTTAATCCCCATGTCGCCTCTTTTTTATCAACTGTGCCGCAATTACGCGCAGAGTCAATTCTGCGTCGCAGTTACGCGTTACTATGGCGCATTGATCATAGTGAAGATTTCTATAAGAAACTACGCTTACAGTGACGCAGATCAATATACCTGCGTCCCAGTGATCGCATCCTACGATCCGTTGTAGGTATAAATGGCCAATTATAAATTATTCCTCCTTATTTGCAATTGGCTACACTCGAACAATAAAACTTAGTCACAGAAAATCAGTATAAATAGCAATGTTCATCATATTTCCGCTCATTAAGTCATTCTACTATAAGCAGCAGAAATGCCACCTGGCCAGCCTGGTGGCATCTCTGATAAGCAGTATAGAATGCATCATTTTTTTTTTTTTAATTTCTAGATTTAAATCTTTTTAGTTTTTCAATTTTTTGTAATTAAATTTTTCTTCGTTTTTATTAAATTATCTCACATGTTTCTAATTAAATTTTTTTTCTTTTATATATTAAACTTTTAAAAATTTATTTAGATGTTAATTTTTTATTGTGTGCGAAAAATTTTTTTAAACTGAATAAAAATACAAATAAAACGAAAGCCTAATCTATGTTATCTTTTGTACCAATTGCGACGCCACTGTGACCGTAGTTACGATGTAACTGCGCCACAGTTTCATCGTAATGAAACACATGGGAAATCATTCCATATTATTGCCATTGAAGATCAGGTATTATATATTTGTTTTTCTATACATACATTCATCTCCTGTTTGTCTGCAACGCTAATCCAATAATAATAATAAGAAGAATGACAGCATCATGAGAACAGAAAATGAAATATTAAACGAGGCATAGATAAAGAAAAACAACCATTATTGGTTTCTTTTATGAATCATATCGGAAGATTCTTTAGATGTAATGTGTCTCTCTATTGTTAGACTTTTCACTTATTTGTAAACAATTGAATGATAATATTAGTAATAATAGTGAATATTAACATGAAGAAATTATTCGACAATTTTTCTTATTATATTGCATTACAAAGAAGCTGAACTTCCGGAAAAATTCAAATGTTACTCTGACTTGTTCTATGGGCAATGCCTTACTAAATGTGAATAAAGAACGAGAATAGAGAAAAAAGAGAGACAAAGAATACATAAACGTGATAATAGCTCGTCGTCATTTTTCTTCTCCTTGCATTCGACTTTTTCGACAACTGTTAAGAGTAATCTCGTATTGACATTGATCGGTTATTTTATCTTACATAATATATAAAAGAGTACATTAATTAATCATATGAACGCATCAACTCTATTTAGCAATGACACATTTTTAACAACAATAGTAACCACAAGCCGAACTATTAAACAAACCTATATAACAAATCCATTCGACTCGTGGTATATTGGTGGTATTTTATTTATGGTGATTGTCGTTTTGGTGTTGCTTTATTCAAATTTTCATTGTGAACATTGTTTTCAACTCGTATTGAGACCATTTTTATTCAAACTACGTCTCATAGAATCACCATCAAGCGCGACCTCTTCACCTATGCCTATCAATACGCTTCTTTGATTATAAATTAAATACAATAAAGTCAAGGTCAGATTTGGTTTCTTTTTTGTTTTTTTTACTTAAACATATATATATATATATATATATATATATAGAGAGAGAGAGAGAGAGAGAGAGAGATTTTTCAATGTAATCCTCACGAATGTACAAGAGTATTTGTTTGCATTAGGATAACCTAATCATTGGAAAAAAAGAAACGTTCATTATCGTTTAAAACTCTTATGAGAATAAATAGCTATTTACTAAGAAGAAGGTACAAGCAGAAGGGTAGAAAAAACACCATGAATTATTTCTTCGTTTTTAATAGTTTCTTCAGAAAGTATAGATCGATTCTCGTCAAGGGACGCAACGTCAACAGGACAAGTTGTATTTTTCTGGTTAAATATTTTTTTCTCTTTACGAGTTTCTTTTTTTATAGGAGCTATTGATGACTAACGAGTAATGCAGCTGACGCTTTTACTGAATTTCACACTTATACCTTTCTCTTCTAACATTTTCAATTAACAATGGAAATCTACCAATAACAACTATAATGATGTTATTATACACTCAGGATTCTTTTTACAAGTCCTTAAAATATGTATATCCATTTCTATCCATGACTGATTATTATCAAAAAAGCATTGCTATGCTCCTCGTATTGATTGTTTGTTTAGAATTTCCATTAAAACATGGTTGACATTTGATGATTGACACATACATATGATCATCATGCTTTCTACACCTATCATAGCATCCATTTTTCATAATATTGAATAAAACAAGTGCTTGTGTTTTCATATGTCATTTCACACTGCGATTTCTACCAATTAGTATAGATAAAATAATATGTTCGAAATCCCATTAAGTTTGAATATTCTATAATAGAAAAAATGATAGATAGATATATATGATTAAAGGAATAAAAAAAACGATATAATATACTATATTTCAAGAAAAAAAATATATATCGATGTATATTTTTCTGTTGTTTTTCTTCGTTTTTGGAAGAATTAATTTTTAAAAATTAGATATTCTCGACGTTTTGCTCTATCTATCGATTAAGAATTCCTAATTCGGATAATCAATCATTGGTTCTATTTATACATATCAATTGGCGGAAAACAAACCCGAACGAAAAAAAGAATAAATATATATATATATAGTGGTATTATATAGAACTTGTTTATGAAGAAAAATACTGAAACAGAAACGATAGTAACAGAATACTATTCAGGGAGAGTTCTTTGCATCTGCTGACTTTATCGTTATTTGTATTGCATACGATCCATTTTTTTGCAACGAAGCAGAGAAAAACAAAGACCAATCAACAGAAAATACTTTGTTTAATTACGTACATATTTTCTTTGATATTCTCTACTTTTTTTTTTAATGGATCCAAAATGTGTTGTTTGTGAAAAAACTGTATATGCAACAGAGAAAATCATGGTTAATAGTAAAGCATATCATAAACCATGTTTTCGATGTGCACATTGTAAATCTGTTCTCAAGTAAGTTTTTTTACTTGAGAAAATCATCTTATTTATTAGTATACATTATTTTTTTTATTTAAACATCTTCCTTGATTGTAAGGTTTTCTTCTACATTATAGGCCCGGTAATTTTACATCAAATGATGGGAAAATTTATTGCAAAACTCATTATATGCAGTTGTTCAAAATCAAAGGGAATTATAAATCAGGTTTTTCGGATGCAAGCAATAAAATTGGTGACACATTGAATAATAATACTCCTGCGCTCGATGAGTAAAATATTTAAAAAAAAAAGTTTAATTCATGTAAATGGTTATAATTTGCTATATATTTTTTTCTTTTTATATGAAAATAATCATTAATAGATTTTTGAAATATAAAATAATTCCTACAAGCCCAAATTTATTTGTCTTTTTGTATAATTAATACTTATGATTACTGATGAAGGTGTGTATTTTAACGGAAAATCTTCATGTTTAGCTGTATGAACTTAATAATAAGAAGAAGGCTGTGACTCTACGGCATGCAAACTAAGATTGTAGATGTTCGAACTAATTTATTATTAATGAAAGATAAATAAATCGTCTTATTTATATATATATATATTTGACAGTAATATCATCTACTTAGAGAAAGATATTTATGATTCTTGAAGATATTAAAAATAGATTTTCTAACAGATTTTACTTAAAATTGAATATGTTATTTTAC